GAAATCTTAAAGGCGCCAGGAGCAGGCTGTCCCTCTGTGCTGAAAGACGAGTCGTCGGGGAAGAAGACTGGCCTGGGTGAATGGGGATCTTTTGCAGGAACTCAGGGGAAAAAAGAGGGTTTATGACCTTTGGAAGAAGGGGCAGACAACTCAGGAAGAGTACAAGGATGTCGTTAGGTCATGCAGAGAAAAAATTAGAAAAGCGAAAGCTCAACTAGAACTCGATCTGGCCACTGCTGTGAAAGATAATAAAAGTGTTTTTATCAATACATCAACAGCAACAGGAGGGCCAAGGAAAATCTCCATCCTTTATTGGACGCAGGGGGGAATATAGTCACCAAGGATGAGGAAAACGCTGAGGTGCTTAATGCCTTCTTTGCCTCAGTCTTTAACAGTAAGACTGGTTATCCTCAGGGCAATCAGCCCCCTGAGCTGGGAGACAGGGACAAGGAGCAGAATAGACCCCCTGTAATCAAGGAGGAAGTAGTTAGTGACCTACTGTGCCACTTAGACGCTCACAAGTCTATGGGGTGGATGAGATTCACCTGAGGGTGTTGAGGGAGCTGACTGAAGAGCTCACTAAGCCACTCCATCATTTATCAGCAGTCCTGGCTTACTGGGGATGTCCCAGATGACTGGCTGTTGACCAATGTGATGCCCATCCACAAGAATGGCCAGAAGGAGGATGTGGGGAGCTACAGACCTGTCAGCCTGACCTCGGTGCCCGACAAGGTTATGGAACAGATAATCTTGGGTGCGATCACACGGCACATACAGAACAACCAAGGGATCAAACCCAGCCAGCATGGGTTTAGGAAAGGCAGGTCCTGCCTGACCAACCTGATTTCCTTTTATGACCAGGTGACCCGCCTAATGGATGAGGGAAAGGCTGTGCATGTTGTCTACCTGGTCTTCAGTAAAGCCTTTGATACTGTCTCCCATGGCATTCTCCTGGAAAAGCTGGCAGCCCACTGTGTAGGGGTAAATAACCCTTTTCCAGAAGATTTTGTTACCGAGGAGTCAGTTATTTCACTTAGGAAAGGTTTCCCTTGCCACTTTCTCAAAACAGTGCTGTTCTCTCCCCCCTCGCATTCCAGAAGTTCGCTCTCTGATATGTGAGGAGAGAGCAGATGCCACAGGTGTGCTGGTTTAAAAGTTAACCAGCAAGGCAAAATGAACTCAATTCAAAAGAGAGATTTATAAGTCAGAATAACAATTTATTAAAATAATACAATAAGTACAATTATACAGACAGATAATTGGTTTTAACCCACAAAACCCAAATGTATAACCCAGCACCCTGGGGTATGAACAAAAGTGATGTACCTTGGCCCCTACCCCGAGTCCAAAGTAAAGGGAGAGGGGAAAAACCTGCTGGTGGGAGAGCTGTTGCAGTCTGGTCAAAAGTGGTGATTTCAGTCCAGTTGAGGGTGGTGGTCTCAGTCTGGTTGAAGGCGGTGGTCTGCGTCTGGTTGAAGGTGGTGGTCTGCAGTCTAGTTGAGAGCGGTGGTCTGCAGTCTTCCTCTGGATCCCATGAGAGGTGGCAAGGTTCCGAAACTCCCAGTTATATACTCTCCAGGCGGGAGTGCTCAGTCCCTCCCTCAGAGTAGGGAATTCCATAAAAGGGCATGATAATGCTCAGTCCCTCTGTCACAGAGGGGAATTCCATAAAAGGGTATCAAAGCGGGGGATTCCATAAAAGGGTATGAGGACAGGAACATCCCCCCACCTCGCAGGCCTCCACTGACAACAGTTTCTGGGAAATGGCATGGAAGGCTATAGAATACACAGTTTTGGGTGATACCCATCCAGTGATGAATTGGTCCCAGCCGTTCTAACCAGGACAACAGGTCTTCGCATTCCAGCAGGGAGAGAGGGGGGAGCAGAGATAATAAAACCTTGACGTTAAAAACAGGAGGTGCCTTTTCCCTGAGACCCAGTGCTGCCTGGCAGCACTGTGAGGTTTTTGTAAGTTTTTAGCGCCCTTGCCTCCGAAATAAACCTTTTTGAACCCTTTCCATTGCCTTGGCATTTTTGGGGAAAGTACCTGCGTATATTTTACCTTACACACGACTTGGACAGGTGCACTCTTCGCTGGCTGGATGGCCGGGCCCAGAGAGTGGTGGTGAATGGTGCTGTATCCAGTTGGTGGCTGGTCACTAGTGGGGTTCCCCAATGCTCAGTATTGGGGCCAGTCCTGTTTAAGTAAGTTTGTCATACAACACCAAGTTGGGTGGGAGTGTTGATCTGCTGGAGGGTAGGAAGGCTCTGCAGAGGGATCTGGACAGGCTGGATCGATGGGCCAAGGCCAATTGTATGAGGTTCAACAAGGCCCAGTGCTGGGTCCTGCACTTGAGTCACAATAACCCCATGCAGCGCTACAGGCTGGGTGAAGAGTGGCTGGAAAGCTGCCCAGTGGAAAAGGGCCTTGGGGTGTTGGTTGACAGTCAGCTGAACATGAGCCAGCAGTGTGCCCAGGTGGCCAAGAAGGCCAATGGCATCCTGGCCTGTACCAGAAATAGTGTGACCAGCAGGACTAGGGAAGTGATTGTCCCTCTGTACTCGGCACTGGTGAGGCTGCACCTCAAGTACTGTGTCCAGTTCTGAGCCCTTCCATTACAGGAAGGACACTGAGGGGTTGGAGTATGTCCAGAGAATGGCAACGAAGTTGGTGAAGGGTCTAGAGAATAAGTCATATCAGAAGCGGCTGAGGGAGCTGGGGTTGTTTAGCCTGGAGACGAGGCTCAGGGGAGAATTTATTGCTCTCTACAACTACCTGAAAGGAGGTTGTAGCCAGGTGGGGGTTGACCTCTTCTCCCAATCATCTAGAGATAGGACAAGAGGATGTAGCCTCAAGCTGTGCCAGGGGAGGTTCAGGTTGGACACCAGAAAGAATTTCTTCAGGGAAAGGGTTAATAAGCATTGGAATGGACTGCCCAGGGAGGCAGAGTCATCATCCCTGGAAGTGTTCAAGAAATGACTGGACGTGGCACTTAGTGCTATGGTCTTAAGTTGACAAGGTAATAATAATAATAATGGCCAGTCTTCGCGAACGAAGATTTGGGGAAAGGTCTTTTTACCTTTCCAGCCTGTGCAATGGATTTTTTAGGTGAGACACAGCCTGCGCTGAACTGAGCCCACCCTTTAATCCTAAGGTTCATCTGCCGGGGCCAAGCGAGCTTGGACAATGGCAGTGAGGTCCTCAGGACGTAGGTTTGTTTAGAGTGACCTTCTCATAGATGGATGGCCTCACAGGGGGACTGGCTGGGATTCGAACCTGGGTCGCAGAGGTGAGAGTCCTGCATGCTAACCACTAGGCCACCAGGGGTCCCAAGTTGACAAGGTGGTGATTGGTCAAAGGTGGGACTCAATGATCTTAGAGGTCTTTTCCAATCTAAATGATTCTGTAATTCTGTATGAGTGAAAGTGAAATTTAGGTTTGAATGTTTAACTGCTTGCAGTTGAAAACAAGTGCTTTAAGATTAGTCCACAGAAGAAGAAAAAATATGACAACTTATCTAAACCAAATTCTATACTAACATATTATTTTGTAATAACATACTAGTAAGAAAAAATTCACTTCATCCATGCTCTAAGCCAAGTCTGATCAGCATGAGTGAACTGTGTTTGCTCAGCGTGGAATAGAGAAGGCTTTTGTGGGGGAACTTAATAGTAGCCTTTCAATAGCTCCGAGGAGGTCATCAACAAATGGAGCCAGAGTCTTCACAGTAGTCTATAGTAGGAAGAGGAAAAACAATAGGCAGATACTGGAATAAGAGCTGCTCCAAGTGAATATATATCAACAGCTGAGCATCAGAACAGGCTGCTCAGAAAGGCTGTGCAGTCTTCAGCCTTGGAGACTTGAAATCAGACTTGATAAATCCATGAGCAACCCAGTCTGATTCAAACTGTCCTTCCTTTAAGCAGGAGGTTGGGCTAGAGACCTCTTGAGGTCTCTTCCAACCTGAATTACCCTACAATCCTATGAATAAGCTTGAAGTCTTAGGTCTGCTATAATTCCTCCAACTATCTAGATGAAGCAATAATAAATTAAGTGTTGACAGAAGTCACAACACTGTTAGATAGGACCAGGTCTTTGACCAGGTCTTTGACATACGGACAAAGAAGAGCCAGGAGACATGGGCAAGGATTCAAACATGGATGTGTTTTGTCTGAATGACTTCACTCTTTGAATTGTGTAGCCCTAACACATATTAAGATTTGAAATGAGATATACACTATATGGAAACATGTTAAATTAAAAATGAGACAACAATGGCTGAAGGACTGTACAGGACACCAGTCAATGATGGCAGGATTCTAGAGCCTGAAAAGCCTGAAGTACAACCTAGCCATGCTTCTACCACATCTCATCTGTAGAGAGAGGACACTGCTCCTTTCAAGTTGCTATAGTGGTTGAGTAGGCTTACCATGAACTATCACTGCCATAAGAATAACATATAATACCATTCCCACCCCACCCCAAAAATTAACCAATTGGTATAAAACATGAATTAAATGAATCGCTTAAGTCTCCTAAAGGTAAGTGAAATAACTGCATTTTAGATCTTTAAAGTTAATACTGGTTGTTCTTCTCAGTTCTGTCACAATTTCTTATCACAAAACATTTCAGAGATTTGCACATCATTTTGCAAGCATGGATAATTAGGTCTTGCTTAGAGGCCTGCAAGCAATACACTTATTACTGTAGAGTACTATCAGGTTCTTTATAGTATTAAAAATATAGGAATACTATCTGAACAAGGGCTGGGAAAAGAAAGAATATGATGAATAATGTTACTGTATCACCAACTGTTGGAATGAGGTTTTAACATTTTAAAGGAGTAATAAATAATGAAAGCATCTAAAATTAATAAATGCTATACATATAAATAAAAGTAATACCTGGAATAAAAAACTTTAAACCAGCTAATTTGAAATTTCAATTTCAAACTAAAGAAACACATTTTTCAACAAAAGTAAAAGGAAAATGATCTTACCTTATCTAGCCTTTTTTGCCAGCTTTCTTCACGTTTCACCATGAGTTCAATGCAATGAGAGAGTGTAGCAAGGATTCCAGCAGTAGTTGCCTTGAAAGTTATAGCTTCTCCTTTAAAGTCTATGCCATTAATTCCTTTGGGTGTCACATGTGGAAACACTAAAACCAAACACGAATTATTCACTGATAGCTGCCTTTACCTCAAACAAGCATTTTACATATATGCTTTATATTACCACTGTTTGAAGAAAATAGACTGGCTAGAAATTTAATTTAAAAATAAAAAAGTGCTAATAATTTTCAGCTATTCCCTGAATAAGGAAAGAGATTCAAAAAGAAAAACACATCCCTTCAATTTCATCTTGCTGTACTGTATTTAAAGTCTGCTTGTAATGCTGTATTACTCTGCAAATCATGTGGGTGGAGGGAGTGGGAATACTTTGTAACAGTAGCAGTTTTACAGTTTGAAGTGGGACCTAATTAACACAGAGCAACCTTAAAATATATCCGATACAGCACTAAGAAAGAAACAATTTCAAAATGCGATCAAACACCAAAGGTAACATTTCAAGGCTGCTTTAATCAGGTAACTATAGACTTAAAAACCACAACATAAAAAGGTATGATATAAAAGTATTAAATGTGTTGAATTATCCAAGTACTGTGGCATTTTGTAGTTTCAACAACATATTCATGATGTCAACCAGGCCATCTGTTACTAAGGCTATTTAAACAAGTCACTTAAAACGTGTGACAAAAAAGTACATACTCTATGTCAAACTCGTATGTAGGTTGACAGAATACCAAAGCAAACACTATACATTAATGTCAGAAAATATTGGAAAGCAAAACTAACACTCATGTTGAAGCTGAGCCAAGCAAGTTAAAGTAACTCCTGCTATGCCATGGGGCAACCTGATGACTTATCACCCACTTGGATATTGCTTTCTTTTCCCGGTCTGTCAGTTTGTCAATGGGCCACTGTTATGGTTTAAAGAGTAAAAATAAATATTCATGTAAATTTATTCAATATCTGTCTGCAACGGTGTCCTGGGTTAAAAAGGGTTTTCTCCTGGGTTTGGAAAGTGGTTAACTCCAGGGGGGTGGTGTTTCTTGGTGTTGACCCAATCAGCGCCCCTGCAAAATGAAAACATATCACACCAGACCAGAAAAGAAGAATGATGATGTAGTTGGAAGAGAAGTAGCCATGTTCTGAGACCACGAGGAGAGAGAGGGGCCAGAAGCCCCGCTGGGGGCCAAGGCCCCACCAGCCCCGGCTGGGGGCTACAAGAACTTGGAACAGTGTTAAACTGGGCCAAGTACTGTGGCTAAGAGCTGGGGGAAGTTTCTTCGCTGTGAGTGGACAGCCAGAGACATTGAAAAGGCAGCAGAGCAGCAGTGAACAGAGAACTGTGGCAGAAAGCCAAGAAGATAAGAGGGAAGCAGCAAAGACGGCATGTAGCCAAGCTGAGAGACACAGAGATGTCTGATGGAGAGAGAGAGAGAGGACTAAGCTCAGTAGAGACTGTTTGGGGTGAGTCTGATTTTATTTCCCCAAACCTTTGAGATCCCTCCTGGAAGGAGGGGGTGGACTTCTACTTGAAGGGAGTCCTGCAATGCAGCAGCACCAGAGACAGGAGTTGAGAAGCTCAGAGACGTCCTGGAAGCTGGACTGGGACGGCCGGACAGAATGCGGGGGAAGTGGTCTTGCCCCCCCGCCTGCTGCCACGCTGGCAGTTTGAGACAGAGCAAAGGAGCTCTGGTAGGACACTTGAGGCAAAGACTGAACTGAGAGCTGCCCTAAACATTCTGACTCAGGAGGAGCTTGAATCGCCTGAGGAAGGGACTGTCACGAAGATGCCCTGCACTTCGTGATATGACATGGTGAAGTGAGCCTTGTCCCTGCTTCGCAGTCCACAGGAGAGAGACCTTCGGCTGGAGCTGAAGGGCCAAGGGGTGAGAGAAGACCCCCTTGTGTGTAATGGAGAGAGAGAGAGAGAGAGAGATTCCAGCTACGACAACTCCAGCTACGACTGCTGCTTTGAAGAGGAGAGACACTGCTGTCCTGAAAGTGGAAAGGATCTTTCCTTCTTCCCTTCTGAACTTTTATTGGAAGGAAAGGAGATTTGATCTAATGTAAATATATTGCTTTACCATAGGATAGTTAGAACTGTGTATATAATGTATTATAGTATTTATTTGTGTAACAATTGTAATATGATTCCCTTCTCCCCATACTGAGTCTTGTGTTATGTCTGGAAAACCCTCTCGCACTGAAGCAAATTGTGGGAGGGGGGCTTGGACTTGGAAATTGGATTTTTGAGAGTCTCAAACCATGACAAACGGTAAAAAGCAGAGCTTTCAAGCAGTTCAGTTCTTGTAGAGAAGAGAAATGCAATTGCTGTTCTCTAATAGTAGAGCACAATATCTGCACTTAAAGAACAGAAAGCAAGCATCACATGATCTTAAGCAATGGCTTGTCTCCAGAGGTTTTATATGCCCTTCTTTCCGAAGGAATCAAACTTTTTCAAACAGATGTTTACACACCTCACACTACTTCAAATACCTCAGTAAACATACATACTACGGTAGAACACAGCTTATCTTTTTGTTTTATGTTAATCAGGAATACTCCCTAAAAGGGTAAGGGCAATGAGAGTGAAAGAAAGAAAGATCAATCTGTTTCAGAAGCAATAATGAGCTTTCCCTCCCCCTTACAGCTGCAGAGGGGAAAATGCAGTTTATACTGCTAATATGTCCTGCTGGTGTAGACCATGTTCATGTGCAGGCTTACCAGCACAGCTATGCTGCTTATACATGTGATTTTTCTTTTAAGTATGCAACATGCTAGACACACTGAAGAAATTACCACTGACTGCAACAGTATAAAATAATTTCAGAAATCTGTAGTAGATTGCAAGGGAGATGCAGCAATGTAGCCTCATTTCCTGGAAAAAAAGCCATTTTTTGTTCCTGGATGTCTTTACATTTCAGTTACAACTCAATACTTCCATACAGTTTCAGTTAACATATATTCTAAGTAATTCTTTAATGACTAGTCTCAAAGCAGCAGTAATATATACAGAGCTTGCAGTTTCAAAGTCAGTGTCATCAAGTTTCAAAATGAAATCTTGCATCAGGAAATCTATAGGTTAAAGCTGAAGGCTAATAGAAAAGTGTTCTTATCATTGCAACTGCTCTTCTTGCCTGGTGATCAAACTGTATGTAGCCAAGTGAAAGAAGTAGCAGTATGATTTTTCTTCTACTTCAACATCTTCCAAGTGGTTGCTTTTTAATTATCCTGTTTCTTAAGAATTTTACTTTATTCATGAATTGTTTTCTCTTGCATTTCTTATAATGGATTTTTCATAACATGCTTTAGCCTTATTCAATAGTTCTTCAGTCCTTCTTTCCTACACACCTCTATGTCTGTTAGGATAGATCAGTTTTGCCTTCTTGTTCCTAAGATGTTGTTTGTAATACTTTCACAGATGTCCCAAAAATCACCTGTTCAATCAAATCTGTTTTCAACTGAAATGGAAGACTGGTTTTAAAAGATGGTAAGCAGAAAAACAAAATTTCTTTATCTTATCCATTTTATGCCACTTTAACATCTTATGTCACTAAACTCATGGCTAGGCTTCGCGAACGAAGATTTAGGAAGGCTCTATCCATGTTTGTTCCAAGCACGCTGGTGGCTAATGAGGCCAATACGAGATAGACATATCCAATTGCAAAAGGCACAGCAGAAAGACAGGTGGTATATTCTGCAAGACACGATTCTTTCTGCATTGTCTTTTCTCCTCGAGAGTAATCCTGCATGCGTTCTCAAAGGAAACAGTAGCGTTATAGATGATGTGTCTCCAGGCCTCCCAATTGGAGGCCAGAGTAGACCAGTTATGTTGATCAATATGGCCGAGGCTGAGATGTTGTTTCAGGGAGTCCTTGTATCTTTTCTTCGGTGCTCCTCTCTTGCGGCAGCAGGTGGCAAGTTCACCATAAAGCAGGATCTTAGGGAGGGGGTGGTCCTTCATCCTTGAGACGTGCCCTGCCCAACGCAGCTGTGTTGTCATCAACATGGCCTCAATACTTGTGACTGTTGCTTGTTCTAGAACAGATGTATTAGTCACATAGTCTGACCAGTGGATGTTTAGGATTGTACACAGGCAGCGTTGATGGAAGAGTTCTAGGAGACACAGGTGGTGGCGGTAGATGACCCATGATTCGGAACCATATAAGAGAGTAGACAGCACTATGGCTTTGTAAACACTGATCTTGGTACTTTTCTTCAGGTGTTTATTACGCCATACTCTTTTATGGAGTTTTCCAAAAGCACTATATGCCTTTGCTAACCTGTTGTCTATCTCCCTGTCAACCTTACCATCCAAGGAGATGAGGCTACCTAGGTAATTAAACTGCTGGACTGATTTGAGCTCTGATTGGGCAATGGTGATATGGGGATGATGGAAGACTTCCTGAGGTGCAGGTTGATAGAGAACTTCTGTCTTTAAGCTGACTTCCAGCCCAAAGAGCTCAGCAGCATCTGCAAAGCAGGATGTTAAATGGTGCAGAGCTGCTTCTGTGTGGGCAACAAGGGCGGCATCATCAGCGTAAAGCAGCTCCCGGACAAGATGGTTTAAGGTCTTAGTGTGGGTCTTCAATCGCCTTAGGTTGAAAAGGCTTCCATCAGTACGGTATCGAATGTAGATACCGTCCGGATCATCGAGGTCTGCCATGGCCCTTTGGAGCATCATGCTGAAAAAGACTGTGAAAAGGGTTGGAGCAAGAATGCAGCCTTGTTTCACACCATTAGTTATTAGAAAGGGTTCAGAAAGTGCATTGCCATATCTGACTTGGTCGTGCTGATCCTTGTGGAGTGAGAGGATCATTTTAAGGAATTTGGGGGGACAACCTAAACATTCCAAAATCTGCCATAGACCTTTTCTGCTCACAGTATCGAAAGCCTTGGTGAGGTCGACAAAGGTTACATAGAGACCTTTGTTCTGTTCCCTACACTTCTCTTGCAGTTGTCTGAGAACAAATATCATGTCTGTGGTGCTCCTGTTGGCTCTGAAACCACATTGACTTTCAGGTAAAATTCCTTCTGCTATAGCAGGTATTAGTCTGTTCAAGAGTATTCTAGCCAGGATTTTGCCAGC